GTGCTTCTTACAATTTGTTCATCTAGATGATCAACTTTGTTGGTGCACAAAAGCTCACAGTATCTTCTTATAATCCTTTAATTTCTGTAAAGTTGGTAATACTGTTCCCAAGCTTATTTCTGATTTTAGTCACTTGCTTTTTCCTCTTGTTTTCTTAGTTTAGCTAAAGATTTGTCAACTTTATTGATGTTTTCAAAGAACATTGATTGTCTTTCTTTTCCCCCTGCGTCTTTTTTCTCTGTGTTAACCTTTATAATTTCCTTTCTTTTGCTGGCTTCAGGCTTCGTTTGCTCTCCTTTTTCTAGTTCTTTAGGGCGGGACGCAGCTGATCTGAGAGCTGTCTTCTTTTTCAGTGTGTGTGTTTACCACTGTGAGTTCCCGGAGAGCCTCAACCGCACCGGAGTGGGGCCCCGGTGTGCTTTCATTTCATCCTGTTCACCCCAAACTGGTGTGCAGTCCCCCTGGTGACTTCTTCTTTGACCCATCGGTTGTTTAAGGGTATGATGTTTGGTTTCCACATATTTGGACTTTCCATCCATGATTAATTTCTACCGCATCCATGTGGTTGGGGGAGGAAGGTATGGACAGCAGGAGTATGGATGGAAGACACATGAAGTCCAGCCTGGGGTCATGGGGGAGGCAGGGTGGTCTGCGTGGTGATGTGCACTGGAGCCTGCGGTGTCCCCAGCAGGAGGACCCCAGTCAGGACTGGAGGCAGACAGTACGAAGGGGCTGAGGGACACCTGGACGATGGATGTGGGAACAAAGAATACCTGGGGATGAGGAACACTTGGGGACAAGGGACACAGGGAGGATGGACGTGGGGACAAGGGACCCGTGGTGAGGGATAGCCTAAGAGTCCTGACTCCCTGCTTGGGGTATTGGGACTGCCTCAGGGCTCCCTGGTGAAGGCCTGGTGACATTCTCCTTGGCAGATGGTGTCCCTGCCAGCCGCATCCATGTGACGCTCCTGGGCGTCAGACTGCGCCCCTCCACCTGCACTGGGGGCCATCTTCCACCTGGCCCTTGTCATTAATGCCCCCTCTGCCAGCGCAGATGTCTCTCCCAGACCGTGGGCCCAATGGCTCTGCCTCTCCCGTGTCCCCTGGATGCCACCATCAGACCAGCCCCTTGCCCTGCACCGGGCCCCACCCTGGTCATCACCTGCCTGGGTCGCTGTCACCAGGAGCTAACTGTCCCCTTTCTACCTGCCCCAGTTCAGCCCCCACAGCCAGAGGGTTCTCACGCCCCAGGGTAGGCCTTCTCAGATCCTCCGGGCGAGACCCCGACCCCTTGCTCCCTTGGCAGCCCTGACTCACTGGGTCTGTCTTATCCTTGGATGAGAGGCCTGCCCACCTGGTGACAACCTTCCTACCTGGTGACAAGCTCACACCCACTGTTTTCCCGATTTCCATGTTATCAACATGACCTTATCTACTGGTATTTCGTTTTTAATCTGCCTTCCCTGTTGCGACGTAAACTCAGAGCCCCGTGGAGATGTGAAGGTGACCTTCCCCCTTCCCAGGAGAAGGGCCCTGCAGGGCAGTGAGACCTGTTCCCTTCTGTCCCTGAGGGAGTAACAGCTTCCATGCAAAGTCTGTCTGTGTGGTGGCCTCACACAGTGTGGAGAGTGATGTGGCTTGTGTCCCCCCAAGGCGTGATGAGTTCTGCCTCCCTGTCCTTACTGGCACCTGACAGACCAGAGACCCACAGGGCATCCCTAAGAGAGCTCTTCCGTCACTGTTCTGGAACACTTCCTACTTCCAGCCCGAACGTTGGAGGAGAGAACGTCCAACATCTTTCCCACCATGATCTCCTGGACCTGGGGGCTGACGCACTAGAGGATCTCAGGCAGTGCCACCCCCTGGTCTCGCTGCACTTTATCCTGTGTGTGGTCACGCTAGCACTTGACTTACCGAGTGTGTGTGATCATGCTGGCACTGAATTTTAACTTTCAGGAGCAGTGGGCAGAAAGACAAGGTCAGTTGAAAGGTGATGAGGATATTCAAATGGTGGGGACAGCTTGTACAAGACCAAACCATGTTTTGTAAGTCTGGATGATTGAGGGCAGTCAGGCAATGTCAGAGGACACTACACATCCTGTGCTTCTGCAAAGTTCTGGGTGAAATCAGGTGGGGTGTCAGGGAGGCCTCTCAGCTGTCCAGGACTCTGGCCAGGCCGCTGCTGGCTCAGAGCTGGTCGCATGGCCAGGAGGGGGAGTGTGATGTTCTCTGAAGGGCCATCAAGTTGGTGCATGGCAAGCTTGCTGGGACAGCAGTCCCCACAACGCTTTGCTTGCACATGCACAGTGAGAGAAGTAGCAGGGCCACTTCTGGAAGCTTCTCAGACAATGGGCAAGTGCTTGGTGGATGCCCTGGGCCAGCACCAGAGCTGGAGTGTGGGTGCACAGGGCAGGCAGACACCCACTCCTGACCACACACCCTGCCGGGCTCTAGGAGAGTCCTCTGTGGGGACAGCCAAGGCTGCCTGGGACCCCAGAGTGCCATGGGCCAGCAGAGCTCGGTGTCCGGGACAAAGCAGGAGCCTGGGAGGCATTTGCTGGCGGAGCGGCTCTCCCTGCTTTTGGACTTGTCAGAGTCTGACCCCTTCCTGAGTTCACCGACCACTCAGGAGGTCTGGCAGGCAGGTAGGAGGCTGCACCCTGGGATTGCAGCGTGGCTAGCCCTCCCTGCAGCTGACAGTAATGTCACAGATGTCAGGACCGGGAGGACATGTGCTAAGTGACTCTGGGTTCTAAGGTGATCCTGTTCATCTTTGAGTCTGTTTTCCATTGGCCCCCTGGCCGGGGACTCTGCGCAAGGAGAACTGGAGGCAGCAAGTGGCAGGGACGGACTCCTGGCTGATGCAGCCTTGGGGTTCAGGCCTTTAGGAGGGACTCAAGCTGGGCAAGGGCCAGGACGTCCCTCTGGGGACGGCAGGACTGTCAAAGCTTGAAGACTCAGCAGCCAAATTAGGTGAAAGCTTTTCATTTTTTTTGGAAAGTGAGGTGCTGGGAAATTTGAAAGCTGCCATCTGAATCGTTTATATATGTTTTAATGCATTTTTCCACAACAGCAGTACAAATGCAGGAGAGTTCCGTCAGTACAGTTTCTGCAAATGATGTTCACATGACTTTACACACCCATCCTTTTACTTGTGTGCAGTGGTTTCCCCAAGGAAGCGACCAGTGTCTTCTCCTTCCCCAGCAGAATGAAGGAAGTGCTTTTTTCTTTGGCTACCTTTGCGGTGGGCGTGGCAGGTGGGCAGCCCCTGCCTGGTCTCACACCCTCCCCCCCGCCCCCCCAGAACTTGGCTTGTTTTTCCAGGGCCTTCCAGTGTCCTCAGGGTAAGGCGAGTCCTCCCTGTCTATGCCCCAGGGTGCTGGGTTGATGCCTGGTACTATGGAGGGGGGGTGGTTAGTTCTCAGTGCGGGGGAGGCACCGTGGTCTGGTTGTTGCTGAGTCAACGGCCGAGCTGTTGTGCAGAACAGTGGTGTTAACACTGCAGCTTCTGTGGGGTAATAGTTCTTCGTTGTGCAGATGAACAGGCAGGGCTTTCTGCACACCTCCCCTCGGGGCCTCAAATTCTCTGTCAGTTCTTCACAAAATGTCACAAGTGTCAGACTGTGAGGAACAGCCAAGGACCTCTGTTGGCTGTTTGTCACATCTACCGGCCACACCAGAGAGGCAGGCTGCAAGGACGCACGGCAAGAATGAGTCGGAGCCAACACCTCTGAGTCCAGGTGGGGAAATTGAGGACCAGACAGTCACCAGTTCAGAGACCCCCAAAGGACTTGGGCACAGCCCCAATTTGCAACATCAGGGGACCGTTTCCACCGGGCTGGCGGCTGAGAGCGGGCCCAATTCCCTGCGCCTCGGAACAGCAGCTGTGGGGGGTGGGGCCCGGCACCCTGCCACACTGTCCCCTGGAGTGTCAAGCCAGCTCCCTGCGCCTTGTTGAACAAAATAACTCAGGTTAACAAGGACAGAGGGGGAGCTGGTTGCATGGAGCCGTGGCCAGTGAGCCCGACTGCACTGCCCAGAAGCAGCTCAGATGCGTGGGAGGAAGCACCCTGAGTGACTTGGGGGACAGTCTGGGGCCTGTTTCCAAGGCTGGAGACCCAGAGGACTGCTCACAAACACTGGGCACTGCTTACAGTTTGCCGGTCACAAGGGGTGGGTGGTTCCAAGTTGCTTTATGCAGAGTCCTGGACCCAGGAAATAAATACGCTGCCGTGGGTCATGTGGGCGGGGTTGGGTTCTTGCTGCTGGAAAGGAGTTGCAGGTGACAAGGCTGTTGCAGTGGTTTGGACGGTGACAATACTTGGGGAATCTCAGGGGAACGACATGTGGGAATTCTTTGTACTATGTTTGCTACCTGTTATGGGAAGTTTAAAATTATTTCACAAAGATAGTTTAAAATATGTAGAGAAAGTGGCCGACAATGGGAAGAAAGGTTTCTTCAGCTAAGAGAGACGTGGCTGGAAACAGCAGCGAGCCTGCGGTAGCCAGCAGATGGCTGACACTTAGAAAATGAAAAGGAGGCGTCGCTTGGGTATAAGGAGGTGCTAGGCCTTTGGAGTGAAAACTGGCAAAGCCTCGTTATGGACGAGGTGGCGTTTCTCAGACCATAAGGCGCGCAGACCTGAACGTGTCCTGTCTGAACGTGAGGGGTCTGTCCTGCAGAGACGCCCACCCAGAAACCCAGATTCAACACGGATCCTATTTAGGGTCGTTGTGGCAGAATTTGTAATAGCAAAAAGCTGCAGACGGTCTGATAATCTGATTATTCATGAGGGGGTATGCGGAGGACCCGGGGGCCCGTCTCCCACCACAGCGTGGAAGAACCAGCAAGAATGCAGCCCGCGGGCCGGGCTGAGTCTTGGGGTGGTGGGAGCGGCGGTGGGCCCGGTGCGGCGGGGTGGGACTCGGGCAGCTGACATCTGGAGGACTGTATCGGGAGTGTGTAACGCCCACTTGCTTCTCTGCCCTCTGTCCCAGCTGGTCGCGGCCATCGTGTTCATCAGCTTCGGCGTGGTGGCGGCCTTCTGTTGCGCCATCGTGGACGGCGTGTTTGCTGCTCGGCACATAGTGAGTGTCCCTTCCTCCATTTTGTTCTCCGTCACTATCGGGGTTTGGAAATATCTACAGAAGCAAAATTTCATGTTGCAGAACTCAGCTCACTGACCTTCTGGGTCCTCCCTCCCTGGGTCTGCCAACCGCTCTCTCTGCCTTGCTGGCTTTTCCTCATTCTCTGCAAAACTGACCCAGCACATGCACACACACACATGGACAAACACACATGTGTGCGCATGCACACTCATGTGCATGCATACACACTGATGGTCACACACATGCACACACATGCACATGGACACTCGCACACACATGCACACACTCATGGACACACACATGTGCATGCACACTCACACACTGATGGTCACACGCATGCACTCACATACGTACACATGCACACGGATGCATGCACACTCGTGGGCACACGTGCACACACTCAGGTGCGTGCACATACTCATAGGTACACACACAGTGCCCTCACACACTCATGTGCAGTAGTTCAAGTATGTGTCTTGAGGGGTGATGTTGGCATTTTCTCACTGGCACTGTAGCTGTGAGACGCTTATGCTTGTTTCATCTCCGTGTGGACGCCTGAGTGGGCGAGTCCTTCATAGGGGCTGAGGGCCCAAGTGTGAGAGTCCTTGGCAGTGGCTGAGGACAGGGCCACACCAGGCGCACGCCCTGGGACCTGGGAAGTCCAGCTTGTTCTACTTGGAGCAAGCATGTTCCGAGTGAGGGAGAGAGCCAGGCCACAGAACGAGGAGCATAGAAATAAATACTCGAGTATGCTGAAGTCAGTCAAGGCGGCCAAGGCAAATGTGGAATCCGTTGTCCAATTACGTAGGACATTTTCCTAACCAGTTTGTATGTTTAGAAAAGCTTTGTTATAATGTCAGGAAATGGCTCTTGTTTCAAACTGGGCAGGTGGAAGAGAGATTTTTCCGCCAACCTGGGGGCCCAGCAGAGACAGCGTTATACCCTCAGCCGAAGCCTGACCTGCATTTCTTTCTGAGCACCTGTCACGGGCAGCTGCCTTTGACCTTGGACTCTGGACTCAGGAGGTGGTGGGTTGGTGCTGCGTTGACCTCTGCGGGGCAAGCTGTCCACCTTCCTGGCACCCTGTCCTGCTAAAGGACTCTGAACAGCTGGTTGTTCCCCCAGAACCCCTGACACATTTATGGCCTGAGGGCGATGGGCTGGGAGCAGACACACTGCACGATCCTTCTGCCTGGCTGCCTTGGGCTCGCCAGTAAGCCCCCCACTCGGTGAGCCCCATGACGGTGCTGTCACCGAGTGCCATGTCCCCATAAATTCTCATGTCGAGACCTGGCTTCCAGGGGGATGGTGTTCGGGGTGCAGCTTTGAGAGGTCACGAGGTGGAGCGTTTGTACAGGGGCCTGTAATGCTCCCCGGCCCCTCCTCCTCATGGGTGAGCACACGCTGTCCCTGAACCCGGAGGGGGCCCCCCCACACACTGGATCTGGCAGCCCCTCCTGACCGTGGACTTCCAGCCGCTGTGCTGTGAGAAGCAAATTGTTTATTGTTTACCCCCTCCCCTCCCTGCCAGTTTATAGTGTTTTATTGTAGCAGCTCACGTGGACGAACAAAAATTGGTCCAAGAGTGGCGTGCTGCCGGGGGCTTCCCAGGGCCGAACAAAGCCCCTGGCGGGGTGGTGGTGGTGGGGTGGCCCCTCTTGGGCCTCTGTGGAACGTTTGTGCCTCTGCCGTCAGATGCAGGCGCAGGAAGAGTGAGACAGAGAGCATCACGGCGGAGCTGCCCAGGAGAGCCCTGGCCTGCACAGGTGGCCAGGCATCTGTGGGTCCTGAGTGGCCCCGGGCCATGAGGACCTGCTGGTGCCTGGAAGGGGCACAGGCCGGAGCCTGACCAGAGCCCCATGGTCGTCCCCGCCCCGGGTGTTCACCGGCATTTGTTAGGTCTTTACATTTATAGCACTTTTTAGGGGTCTCTGTATGCGTACTTTGTCCCAGACTTCTGCTTGTTTTTTATTTCTGGAAAGATCACTTGGACTGCGAGTCCCTGACCAGTATTTGCTGCCATGGTTCTGGCGTGCTGCTTGGTTAGCACAGAAAGCGTATCCTCCGATGCAAATCCAGTATTCGTTTCCGAGCCTATTGCTGATGTCAGCAGGTCGTGCTGGACGGGAGACCTGGCCTTCTGCAATGCCCTCCAGCCATCAGCACCCACCGAGGGCTCCCCAAGCCAGGACGCAGGGATGGGTGGACAGAAAGCCTCTTGGGGCTCAAAACAGGCCTGCCAGGGGGTGATCGTCTCAAGGCCTTCTCAGGAGGAAACCCCACGTGTGCCCTCAGAATGTAGCTCTGTGGGGAGTGCCCCGGAGACAGATGCCCATCTGCTCAGTGAGGAGCCGGTCAGTTTAGAAACGTCTAGCAGACAGTGCTTCTCAACATGGGCTCCACCCTGGGGCAGACAGAGGAGTGAGTGGTGTCTGTCTGGGCCTGGCCGCACTTTTGTGCTGGTCTCTCTGTTCCAGGTGTTTCCTGGGTAATGAGGCCCATTCACACAGTGGCATCTGGTACAAAGAGTTAATCGCAGTTTTCTCCTGGCACGTCGGCGGGTCAGGTCTTCAGTAGGCCCAGACAGGGGGCGATATGTCTGATGTTGTGGAGCACGGCGTCCCTCATGGGGCAGAGGGCAGAGCATGCCAGGGAAGGGTCAGCAGGCTTCCGCCGGGGGCTTCGTGCAGAGCCTGGGTGGTTGTGAGGGCGCCCTCCCCAGCGGGGCCCAGCTCTCCGCTCCACAGGCCTTGGCGGGTCAGTGTGCCACTCTGCCCACTAAGCCAGGTGCTACCAGCCTGGAGGACTCAGGAGTGTGTGTGGAAGCGTCCCGAGTGTAAATATCCCCTTGTCAAAGTTCTTTCCCTTCTAAAAATGCACAATTAACATCTCTTGAGAAGAAGATGTGATGATCCCATTGTGGTGTGAGTGTCCCTCTGCTTCCAGGAAGGACAGGGAACCCTGAGAGGCAACCACCCCATCCTATGAGCCAGCATGCTGGCAGACGGAGGCTGGCACTTGGCCCCCTTGGCCATAGGCCCAAGTCACCAACACAACAGAAAGTAGAGCCTCACGGCAGCAGGATGTGTGACCGTGGCAAGGACCCCAGTCGCGGCCTGAACTGTGACACAGAAGCGGCTGTCCCCATCCCTGCCCTACACGCAATCTTCAAGCACGTCCTTACAGAACAACAAGACCCAGAGGCAGATGCTTAATAATAAAGGCAAATAAAGTGGAAATTTAGGAGCTGGGGGACCCTCTGGCCTGCCTGAGTCCTGCCCGCCATGCGGGACCTGCCTCCATCCTGAGGAACAGGGCTCCCCAAAGCCTTGACCTGGGTGGCAGGGAGCACATTTCTGCCTGAGGCCCAACACGGGGACACTCTCTGTGCTTGTTCTGTGCGATGGGACGTCCATTTCCAGCAGTGAGGACCCGTCTCTCGAGGGGCAGCTCAGCTCAGCCTTCCTGCCGTCAGAAGAGGCAGCATCGACTCAGGAAGGTGGAAAGGGTCTTGTGCCCGAGGTTGGCTCCAGGTGCCTGGGCCCCCTCCAGCACACTGCACCCCCATGGCCCGAGCCTCTGCCGAGAGGGCCCATTGGCCGCGGAGCCGGTGGAAGTCGGGCCAGCTTCCTACTTGTGAGGGGGGTGCTCCTCTCCCAGGGAGTGGATGAGGATGAATAGAGTCATGGGTCCTGGTAGGGCCACGTGAAGGAAGGACCACCCTTTCCTGGGCAGACTGCGTTCCTTCCGTTGAAACAAGGTGTGGACATTTCGGAAACCACAGGCAGAGCCTGGCCAGAGGGTTTCACGTGACCAGTCTTTTTTCCCCTTTATTTTTCCCTCTATTAAAAACAAAGCCAGTAAAAGCTGGGTTTTACTGAGAAGGGTTACGGGGTGTTTGAAGATGGGTGTCTTCCCTCGGCTCCAGTCCCTGCCTGGCTGCTGACCCGGGGGAGAGTGGGGCCAGGGGAGCGTGGTGAGGGAGGCTGGACACACCTTTTTTTGTCCGGAAAGGAGCCCAGGCAGTGTGACGGATGGCTCTGGGTCCCCAGCTCCCTGCGGGGCAGAACGGGCTGGGGAGGGGGGCAGGGGTCCAGACTCAGTACCTTCACCTCTGCCCTCAGAAGGCAAAGCACTCAGCATTCTCTGTCCTCAGTGTGTCCTACATACATTTTAAGGTTTCTTAGTTTTTTTTTTTTAAACTGCCACACCTGGTGTTAATCCTGGGCTATCCCACGTGTGCCTTACAGAACTCTGTTCTTTCCACTTTTCTGCAAGTTTGAAATTATTTCCAAACAAAAGATTTCAAAAACGCCAGGACCAGGTGCACGTCCTCATTGTCCCGGTCTGGTGTGGCTGTCCCAGCCTCTGCAGAGCTCGGGCTCCACCACACGCTGAGGGGTCGCTGAGCCCCCCGCACGTGACGTGAGGGCCTCCTCCCCACAGCCTCCCTCGCACACTCCTGCTCATTTATTCCTTAGCTCGGTTTCCTGCCTTCCTCTGGCTGCACACGGCCAGCGTCTGAGGGCCGGCCCGTCCCCCCTCACCGGGCATGTGCACCGGGGAAGACGTGAACAAGGGTACGAAGGAGCTGAGTTTCCAGGTTGAAAATGTCCAGCCTGACTCTGCAGGGTGGAGAGTGATTGTCTAACAGGCTAACAGGTGAAAAAACCAATTCACCAAAGGCTCTTTCCTACCCGCTTTTTTTTTTTTTTTTTGAGAGAGAGAGAGGGCATGTGCATTGGTGGGGGAAGGGCAGAGAGAGAGAGAGAGAGAGAGAGAGAGAGAGAGAATCCTAAGCAGGCTCCACACCAAGCCTGATTTGGGGCTCGAACCCATGACCGTGGGATCGTGGACTGAACTGAAATCAAGACGGAGCCCCCAAGGTGCCCCTCTTTCCTAGAAATTTGTAACCGGCTTCCAGCACTTCTCAAAATTATGATTTTGAGATGCCAACACTGGGGGACAAAATGTGGGGAGAATGTGACCAGGATGACAGGATGTGGTGCCGGGTGTGGTGCAGAGGCCCAGCGGCACTAGGCCTGCAGGACTCACGTGGTCGCTGTGGCTCCTCCACGTGGCACACGTCTGGTCTGACACACGTATGAACAGTGACCGTGTGACTGGACCTTGGGGACTGGTGTCACCACCGGGTCGGACCCAGCCTCACCTCAGTCCACGTCTGGCTCATGTTCTCTGTTGCAGGCTCTCTCCCTGTGCACTCGCTCTTGCTCCTGAGCTGAGCCCCGAGGGCTTGGGGGCGGGAGATGGCTTCTGGAACCCCGGTTTCCGAGTGAAAATCCCAGCCCTGCCGTGTGCATGGGAGTCTCCCGGCCTCGCCTCCCACTCGGCACTCATTGGAGAGAAAGTCCCTTCAAAACCACTTGCTTCCCAAGGGGGGCTCTCTATGCAGCTGCAGGCGTGAGCAGAGAAGGCATGTCCTCCCTCGGTCTCTGTCTTTCTCAGATGCGTGGGACTTCTGGAAGGTCGCCCCTGGCAGGACATCTGTCAGCCGTCAGCCCACCTGTTTCCACCCAGAGGGGCCTCCGGCAGGTCTTCTGGGCTGCTGGACTCATGGCTGTGGTCCACCACGGGGGCCATGGCAGATAATGGGGTCAACACAGACTTCTCTCTAGCACAGCCACTTTGCGGTTGCCCCAGAGTGTTTAGTTTAGTGCTGGTTTGGGACACCTGCAGGGACTGGACACACTGCGCTGATGGTAGGGGGCGTGGTGTCCTTCTCCTCCTGCTGGCCCCGGTGCCTCTGTTCACAGCTGCTCACCAAAGTCCTGCCCTGCCAGGCGTGCTAGAGGCTGGGGCGGCGCATTAGGTCTGTGGCCATGTGGCCTCTGCCATGGCTACTGAATTCAGCTGCTACAGCACAGAAGCAGCCACAGACGATATGCAGACAAATGTGCATGGCTGCGTGCCAATAAAACTTTATTTACAAAATCAGGTGGTGGGCCAGTCATGGCCTGAAGGCCACCGTGTCCCCCTACAGGAGACACACGGGGTTTTAACTGAACTTTAGTGACTTAGAGTCTCATGTTAGTATGTGGAGGGTCTTAACACTAATTTACGTAGAATGGTCAAGAAATAAAAACCATGTCATAGTGGTCTTTTTTGGTTTTTAAAGTTTACTCATTTATTTTGAGAGAGAGAGAGAGAGAGAGAGAGAGAGAGAGAGAGAGAGAGAGGATCCCAAGCAGATTCCACACTGTCAGCACAGAGCCCGATGTGGGGCTCAAACTCATGAACCGTGAGATTATGACCTGAGCTGAAATCAAGAGTCGGACGCTCAACCGACAGCCACCTGGCGCCTCTCAGTGGTCTTCCTGAACACCCACTGCCCCTTTTCCTGGGCCAGAATGACGCTGACTCCGGGCTCTGGCCCCATAGAAACGCTATTTCCAGTGTGATCGTAAATTCGGAGAAGTCTTTGTGGCAGGTGCAACTAAAATGGTCGCAGTTGTATTTAATTTGAACTATTAAGAATTTTTTCACCCTGATTGGACACTGAAGGTCAGACAGGAAATGAAACCAGCCACTGGTGCTTCTGTGTTAGCAAGAGGATTTGTGGCCAACTCCGAGTCTCACACCAGCTCTCCGTGTCTGACTTAATGAGGTGCGGAGCCAGGAGCCGCGGCGGCCTGGGAGTCTGTGCCCCTGGAGCCCTTGTGCGTGGCGGCCTCAGTAGGCGGCCTTCGGGAGGTGATCAGGGCCAGGTGAGGCCCCCCTTGTGGGATTCCTGTCTGCAGAGAGAGACCAGAGCCCACGGCCTGCCCGGTGAGGACAGGGTGGGAAGAGGCTGCCACCACGAGGGCCGTCAGAACAAATGTCTGCTGTTCAAGCCTCTGTGACTTGCTACTGGGCCCAGCCGACTGAAGCAGGAGCAATGGTGGGATGTCCCCAGGCCGGCGGCCAGGCCTCGAGGGGGCTGGACTGGGACCTGGACAGGGTGGCCCATGTGTCTGACCCTTCCAGACTCAGAAAGGGCGTTTCCCTGTGGTTGTCGGCGGGAGGAAGGGCACCGGTCTAGCAGAGCCGGCAGGATGCCACTGTCACTCGGTGCTGCCGGTGCTGAGAGTCAGTGGGACACTGAGCCAAAGCTGCTGGAACGAGGCCCTGTTGGCATGACATCCCAAAGGGAGGGGCCGAGCGGAATCGGCAGGTGCCTGGGGGTGAGGGGGGCTCAGGGGCTGCAGGCCCATCACCGCTGCTCACCGCGGGGCCTCAGGGCACCAGCCCCTTTACCCTGCCCCCTGCACAGCCCCATCGTCTGCCCGGCACCCATCTGCCGTGCTCTGTGTCTGTCTCCCTTGGGCTGCTCAGGGCGTCCAGACGGGCCTGGTGTGCGGGCCCCGTCCTCATCTATTGCCTGCAGTGCGGTCCCTACGCTCATCTTGGGTCAGAGATGGGAGTGCACTGGGAAGTAAGAACGGGTGTGAGGCCCTAACTGTGCACCTCACCAGTCGCACAGGCTCCCGGGCCTCACCAGTCTCTGCCACAGCGGGTACAGGTGCCTTGTCACCTGGAGGGTGTGTCTCCTCCAGCGGTCAGCTGGGGACGGGGCCTGTGTCTAACCTCGGTACCATCAGAGTCTGGCTCCGCATCTGCTCTGTGAATGCTGGGCACAGACTTGTGGATGGAAAATTGAACAGGGCCGTTGGTAGGCGTGTATGCAGTGGTTGGTGGATGGAGGAAAGGATGGAGGGACAGAGAGAAGAAGCAGGGAGGGGGGCGGGAGGGCAGGGAGGAGGAAGGGTGGGGTGGAAGAGGGCAGGGAGAAGGAGGGAAGAGTGGAGGGAGGACAGGGAGAAGGGGGTGGGGTGGTGGCAGGAATGGTTGAGTGGATGGTCAGGTCAAGGACTGGGTGGGTGAGTGAATTAACAAGAATCCTTTTTTCTCCCTTCCTAGTAGAAAACAAATGTTTTGTTTTAGAGAAAGAGGCAGGCACCAAGGGGTGTCCTTGTTCAGGGCAGAGGACTGCACCTCAAAATGTCTGGCAGCCACCTCCTCTCGGCTGCCCATGTGATGCTGGTGACAGGGGGAGGGGGATCAGCCCAGCCTTCCGGGCAGGTGTGTGCCCCCCAAGGCATCTGCTCTGGTGTCCTGGACACAGTGGCCCAGCTGCCCTGGAAGAAGCCATGGCATCTCCCACTCTGTGGCCCCCGCCTGACAGACTCCAGTGGCTTCCTTAGGCTCAGAGCCTGGGGCGGATGGGTCTGAAATAGCCAATGGCCACCCCTGGCCCAGGGATGAACCTTCTCTATCGCTCTCGTGTGTCTTTGTGTCTAGGAGCCCAGGCCGCTGGCTGCGGGAAGATGCCAGTTTTTCGCCAGTGAGGTGGGTTACGTGCACGACGCCTACCAGACAGAGGTATGTAAGGCGGGGGTCCGTGAGCTTTCGCTGTGCTAATCCGGGTCCCCCAGGCATTCTGTGCCCCAGGCCGGGGTCTGGATGCACAGCCTCCTGACTGCCACTCTCTGTGAGCACCCGCGCTCTGTTCCAGCCAGCGCTGGCATTTCATGCATTGCACCCTTGGGGGGTCGCAGCTGCTGGCCGTCCCGTGCAGGACGCACAGCAAGCTAGCAGCCCTGTCTGGGCGGGTGTGGCACTGTTAACAGCTGCAAAGCACAGTTGGGTCGGCTGCATTTACCTTGGCTGAGAGGCTGGTCCCTGGGCCACTCCCCATGCACGAGACGCCAGGAACAAGAGTGCAGGATGGACGGCATGCCCTCCCTCTCAGGCCAGCCCCGGCAGCCGTCTTGCCCCAGCTCTGCATGAATGCATCAGCTGCACTGAGCACGGTCTCCCAAACTGTGCAAATGTCCAGGAGGAGCTGAGAGCCTGGACCACACACCTGGCCAGGCCCCCACGTGGCTTTTGCAGGCTCCTCGACCTCGGGGCCTGGAGGGTCCCTGCTGCCCCTCCAAGGGGGCAGCATTTTTCTCCAAAGGCTGACCCCAGCCTTCCTGGCCTTTTGCCTGGCGGGGGGAGCCCGGGGACTCATCCTGTCCGAGGGCATCATGGGGCTCTCCAGGCCCTACCCGTGCACCCCACCCATCCACAGACACTTCAGCCGGCCGCCCTTCCTTCCTGCTCCCTTCTACTCCTGGCGTCAGGGAGAGGCAGGACCCCTTCCTGAATCCCATCAGTCAGGCTTCTGAGGACAGGCCCACGTGTCCGGGGCTTGCCCCTTGCTCCCAACCCTCTGTCTCTTAGAACCAGCCCAGGGGCTTGAGCAAATCCTGACTCTGGGTCCTGCCTCAGGTTGTTGATTCAGTAGACACAGGATTTGCAAAGCTCCCTGAGGACTCAGGGACCCACGCTGCCCGCACGGCTCTAAACCAGGGCCGGCAGCTTGCCCCATAAAGGGTCAGTAATATTTCAGGGTTTATAGGCCAAGTGGTCTCTGTCCCAGCTACTCGACCCTGTCTCTCTGGTGTGACAGTGGCCACGGGCAAGGTGTTGTCAGAGGAGCGTGGCTATATGGAGCTTCGCCTGCAAAGCAGGCAGTGGGCCAGGCTGGGCTGGAGACCCTTGCTGGCTGACCAGTTCTAACCCCCGTCCCATGTGGTTGCACACTTCTTGGGAGGGGACGCTTAGGGTCAGGCCTCTCGACCTCCAGATCCCCGGCTTGTGGCGCTGACCTTCCCACCAGGCACGTGCAGCCCTCCCTCCTCCCCATCAGCCTCCAGCCCTGCCCCTCCCAGGGCCCTTTTTCATTTCCAGTGAGCCTCCCTCCTGCCCTTGCTTGCACACACCAGAGCGTCCCGTGGCCTGCAGCCACAGGACCCTGAAAGGAAGTCCACAAGTCCAGTGGTTCTGGAGGTGTGGCCAAAGAGGGGCCAGGGCACCGGGGACGGTCTGAGGGCCTCTGGGGTGGGGCCCCGCTCCCTCACCTGTCCTGGGCCAGCTGAATCCTTGATGAGAGCCTGGCCCACCAGCCCTCAGCACACCATCCTCCCTCAGAAGCGTCTCCTCCCCAGATGGCACCATCTTCCCTCTGAAGGGGGGTGGTCTCCACCCGGGTTACCTCCCACGTGTGGGCGGCATGGCTGTGTCACGTGTTGAAAGCCCTGGGGGAGGGAGGAAGGCACATGGTTTTGCCTAATTTTGCTCTTTTGACATCAAGTCTCCCAACCACTTGCCGTGTCTTTGCAGCAGGTGCCCAAGGGGAGGCCTCCACGTGGCTTACACAGGGCTGGCGTGGCAAGGTCGGGCTGCTGGGAGCTTGTGGCCCTATGTGTGGTCACCTGGAGGTGTCCCCACCTGTCCCACCTGTCCCCACCTGGAGACGTTCCCACTTGTCCCCACCTGGAGCCGACCCACCTGTCCCCACCTGGGGGTGTCCCCACCTGTAGGCACAGAGCCTAGAGCCCTCTCTCTCTCCTTGTCCACCAGACGTTGGCTGCCTGGACTCCCTGGTGGCCAAGCCTGGTCCTCTGACCCTCCAGCAGGGGGAGGTCCTGCCACCTGCAAGCATGTGGAGGGTCAGGAAATCTGGCTCGGGAGGAGGAGCTCCTGACTGACCCAGGCACAGTGGCTGGGCCCTGGCCCCCGGGGAGGCAGCCCTGCCCACTCCAGGTCAAGGAAGGGCAGACACCTGACAAGGTCTCTCTGCTGGCAGGTCACCTGTCACTCCTTTAACGGCCAGTGCCCGCTGAAGGTGAAAAGCAGCACCTGTTACTGCTGTGACCTCTACAATTGTCAGAGGTGAGGGCCGGGGCCCAACTGGGAGGCAAGCAGTCCCTCTCCTGGCCCCTGCCCCACGGCCCGTGTGAGGGAGGGGTTCTCATCTCACAGATGGGAAACTGAAGCTGCGTGGGTGGGGGGAGGGACAGGGAGGGACACGGCCTCCTGCCCCATGGTTGCAGCTCTTCCTCGAGCCTGTGTGTCTGGACGCCCAAGTTCCTCAGTGCTTCCTCCCTGCTTGGCTGGGGCAGGCAGCCAGGGCGGGCTGCAGAAGGTCCCCCTTCTCTTCATCTGCGGGCAGCGGAGGACACTCTTCTGTGATGTGGACTGTGAGAGCCTCCTCAGGACAGGCCCTGGGTTCTTGGCGCTCAGGCTCGCTCACACGGAGCCGCCGGTGTCCATCCTTAAGGGTCAGGCTTCCTACTAAGGCCCTGGGCACCGGTTTTGTGTTAATAGCTTGAACACCTACATTAAAACCAGCAGGCTTTCACATCTGCTCCTTGGGGATGCCTCTCTTGAATTGCTGAAAACTCCGGGGCTTTAAGCTACAACCTCCTTCCCCCAAAGATGGTTCCCTCCCATTTCCAAGCAAGAGCGGCTAAAGCAGCACGTGTGCGGGTCACCGTCTCCACGCAGTCCTGAGGGCCCGGCTGCAGGCCCTCGGCCACAGCACTGTGGTCCAGCTACGCACAGATGGCCACAGTCCCGTGTGGGGAGGGCCAGGATGAATCCCCTGTGGGCTCACCTTCCTGTGCTCCCTGACAAGGCAGCCGGGTACAGAGGGCTCCGTGTCAGGCCTGCTCGCTCTGAGGGTGCCCTTCTGCCTGCGCTTGTGTTTGGGGAGTGGACTTGGGTGGTCCTTCCTGCTCTTTGGGGGCCTTCCTGCTCTTTTGGGGGCCAGGCCTGCTCTTGGGAGGCCTGGGCTCTTTCCCTGGAGAGATGTCCAGATGCCCTGGAGAACAGCCTTCTTGCCATGAACTCAGGGTGCAGCTGGGCTGGTTCATGAGGGGCAGTGTCCCCCAACCCGTCCCCCGCAGCACCAACAGAGCCCGCGGGGCCTTTACGGCCGAAGACTACAGCCTGTCCAGGAGCAACTCGCAGGCTGTGGCACTGGCTGTGACCTGTTCCCCTCCACCTGCAGCGCTGAACCTTCTCCCACCTACTACGAGTTCGTGGGCGTGAGCAGCTGTCAGGACGTGCTTCACCTGTACCGGCTACTCTGGGCCTCAGCGGTGCTGAACGTCCTGGGTGTGTTCCTGGGCATCCTCACAGCAGCTGTCCTGGGGGCCTTCAAGGACATGGTGAGTAGGGCCCCCTGGTGCTGGCCCTACGGACAGGTCGGGGCTCTGGGGCCTGTGTCCTCTGAGGTGGGCAAGGCGGGCCTCCTTATCGTCACTAACAAAGGAGGAAAAGGAGGCTCATGGAAACTGCCAACCGTCTGTTAGGGCGACAGCAAGCCTTCACTGGTCGCGTCCAGAAGCAGCTACTCTAGGACATGTGCTGCCATCTAGGCAGCCGCTAGGGTGTGTGGGGACATGCCATTGGACAGCTGTAGGGCTGGGCACTAGGGCAGGCGGGGGCCGGGGCGGGG